CTCCCCTCCCCCTGTTGAAGGGGCACATCATCCGCCTTACCTGGCCTCTGCACCTCCCGCTGGCTTCGAACTCACAACGATCCTCCTGCCTCAGCCTCCCAGAGTGCTGGGATTACAGGCATGTGCCACCACATATACTACTTTGAAGAAAATCCCAAGCACGTGGGTTGTTTCTAAGATACTTTATCTTGTCAAGTCCTGCTGGTTTGAGAACCACTTTCTTCTTTCTCTGGCAACTTTGCTAACTGCCGGGTCTGAGAATGGCCCCAGACAGAGATTCCTGACTCCCAGGGCCACAGGTGCTCCGCAGCAGTGCCCGCTGTCACCAGGCAGAGGACTTTCCACTCGAGTCTCTGAATTATGTGGCGCCGTCCTCCGGGTGTCCCTTACTGGACTGCGCTGCAAAGCACGACGCCGGGTTTCTTGTGTCCACTGAGGGCTGGATGCGGATGCAGATCTCCGGAGTGGAGTCGGGAGCCTGGGAGTCTCTGCCGCTGGAGCCGGAGAAGCAGCCAGCAGGAACAGTTTCAGATCAGTAAGGTATGGCTGGGCCTGGACTTGGGATCCTCCTGCCTCAGCCTCCCAAGGGTGCTGGGAGTTCAGGGATGTGGCCCCACGCCGGCTTGGAGAGGGCACTACGAGGAGACCATGGGCATTTTTTCAGGGCCCGTGCTCTGCCGGCTTTCTCTCCCCGTCAGGGCCGCGAGGCTGGCCTAGGTCCTTCGCGGCTGCATCAGGCACAGGTGCACGGGTGGCGGGTGCTGGGAGTCGCCCGTCCCCGGCTCCTGGCTGTGCCACAGGGCTGTGGGGGCCGTGAGCCTCACCTAGGGGATAGGGTCCCGTGCACACTCACGCTCGTGCACACGCACACAGCCTGGCGCTCTAACAGCTTTAATACGGAGAGAAGCCTGGGGCTGGGGATTTAGCTCAGCGGCACAGCGCCTGCCTGGCAAGTGCAAGGTCGTGAGTTCGATTCCTTGTACCGGAAAAAAAAAAAAAAAAAAAAGAGAGAAGCCGCTGCAGACTCAAACATCTCCTCCTGGGGATCCCGTAGGGTAAATTCCGGGCGCCCTGGGCCAGACCCGGTCCCCCCACATCCCGAGCCTGAACGCCACTCTGCAGGCCCAGCTCGGCTTCCGGGTCCGCGGCTTCCCCGTCTGGGGACGCGCTCTCCGGCTGCGGCGCGGGGCGCTGGAGCAAGGCTGGCGCGGCTCGGGGTCACGGGGCGGGGAGGG